CCCGGGTCACCTCACCTGGGGCACACCTGTACCCCTGGACGGCTTCCGGGACAAGGTGAGTGTCACCTGTGTCCCCTCACCTGTGACAGAGTCCCCTCCCTGCCCCGGGGTCACCTCACCTGTGACAGAGTCCCCTCCCTGCCCTGCTCCCAACGTCAGCTCACCTGTGACAAGGTGAGTGTCCCCTGTGTCCCCCCTGGGTCACCTCACCTGGGGCACGCCCGTACCCCTGGATGGCTTCCGGGACAAGGTGAGTGTCACCTGCATGCCCCCGAGGTCACCTCACCTGTGACAGGGTGAGTGTCCCTTGTGTCCCCCGGGGTCACCTCACCTGTGACAGAGTGAGTGTCCCCTGTGTCTCCATGGGTCACCTCACCTGGGGCACACCTGTACCCCTGGATGGCTTCCGGGACAAGGTGAGTGTCACCTGTGTCCCACCCCCTGGGTCACCTCACCTGGGGCACACCTGTACCCCTGGATGGCTTCCAGGACAAGGTGAGTGTCACCTGTGTCCCCCTGGGTCACCTCACCTGGGGCACACCTGTACCCCTGGACGGCTTCCGGGACAAGGTGAGTGTCACCTGTGTCCCCCCTGGGTCACATCACCTGGGGCATGCCTGTACCCCTGGATGGCTTCCGGGACAAGGTGAGTGTCACCTGTGTCCCCCTGGGTCACCTCACCTGTGACAGGGTGAGTGTCCCCTGTGTCCCACCCCATGGGTCACCTCACCTGGGGCACACCTGTACCCCTGGATGGCTTCCAGGACAAGGTGGGTGTCTCCTGTGTCCCCCTGTGTCCCCTCACCTGTGACAGGGCGAGTGTCCCTTGTGTCCCCCTGGGTCACCCCACCTGTGACAGAGTGAGTGTCCCCTCCCTGCTCTGCCCCTGGGGTAACCTCACCTGGGGCACCCCCGTACCCCTGGACGGCTTTCGGGACAAGGTGGGTGTCCCTTGTGTCCCCTGGGTCACCTCAGCTGTGACAGAGTCCCCTCCCTGCCCTGCCCCCGGCGTCACCTCACCTGTGACAGGGTGAGTGTCCCCTCCCGCCCCTGGACGGCTTCCAGGACAATGTGAGTGTCCCCTGTGTCCCACCCCCTGGGGTCACCTCACCTGTGACAAGGGACACCCCCGTGGTGTGACAAGGTGAGTGTCCCCTGTGTCTCCTCACCTGTGACCGGTGAGTGTCCCCTCCCTGTCTGGGGTCACCTGCTCAGGTGTGTCCCTCCATCCCCCAGGTGTTCTACGTGTGGTTCGATGCTCCCATCGGGTACCTGTCCATCACAGCCACCTACACTGACCAATGGGAGCGCTGGTGGAAGAACCCCCAGCAGGTATGAGGGGCACAGGTGTGAGGGGCACAGGTGTGATGGGCACAGGTGTGA